GAGCGTTGGATTCCTCTTTGCGTGCTTTGTCCTTGGACTCGGAGCTCCGGTTTCGGCCTGGCCTCGCAGCTGCTCTGCTGTGAGATCAATTTTAGCAGCAAAGCCCAGGTCCCCCTACTGCCCTGCTGGCTCCTGGAGAGAGGGAGGGAGGTTGCTGGTGGGGCCATCAGCTTCACCATCTGCTCAGCGGCCCCGCCTGCCTCACCTTCCACAGGGACTCCTCCCTCTATCCCAGTGGAGTGCCAGGAGAAGTGTAAACTATTTACCTTGGAAGGCTTTGGAGGTGGGAGGACAGCTGGTCTCTGACAGAGGATGACAGGCCCACCTCCCTGTCCTCACCTGATCCCAGACCATCAGGAGGTGGGGGAGCAACATCACGCAGAGCCACCCCAGTGCCCTTTGTAACTCGTGGCCACTGTCCTCCCAGACCCTGCAGGGAGCTGGGTGTGGGGCCCCTCTCTGCTCCTCTGCATCGGAGGAGACATTACTTCGGCTTCCCCTGGCCCTTCCCCTCACTTCCCTGCAACACCTCCAGATGCAACCAGGCTGTTAAGCCAGGAGTTAAAGGGAACAGGGAGGGAAGAGGAGGAGAGAAGAGAAGAAGGAAGGGGAGAGTGGTAGGGTGAGCCTGGGAAGGTGTTTTTTTTTTTTTGAAAGGTTTTCGCTATGGGGCGCGTGTGCTCACCAGACAGACAGAGAGAGACATAGAGACAGAAAGCGAGAAATCACCCCCCAGGGGGGATGGTCACGCCACAATCCCTTCTCCTCCATTCTCCTCTCGGGATCTTGGGCACACACGCACACGCGCCCGGCGTGAGTTTTAAGCCACCGGGTCTGGGACACGAACCGCGGTCGACTACGTGGGAGTCCAGCGACATAGCCATTACACTAACTGCTGGTTCCCGGGAAGGTGTTTTCAAATGCTGTGACTTCGGGATCCTCTGGTGACCATATGCAAGGCCAGGGCACCGAGTAGGCAGATCCAAAGAGAGATGCCGGAGTCTCCGGCTTGCTTCCTGCCCGTCTCATGGCCCCTGCTGGGAAGGTGCTAACCTTCCCGGCCTTAGGAAGATGGAGGATTTTAAAGGCATGCTCCCGCAAAATAGAATCCTCGAAAGATGAGCATGAAAGGGGCGACCATACCTCCCCTAGCTCAGGCCAGGCCCAAGGCGTGCCTGTCGTCTCTGTCTTGGCCAGTCGGTGTCTCCTTTTTCTCTCAGGAATGTCCTGTTTGGACAATAAACTCTACAGCCCTCCCGAGCGCAGACGAGACCTAGGTGGGAAGTCCTGAGGGGATAAAGAGCTGAGAGAAAGGACAGGCACAGACTCTTTGGGACCGCAGTCTGAGTGTCCCCTGGCCCAGGCGGAGGGAAGGGAGTGGGAGAGCCCTGGCCTGCAGCGGAGGGGACGGTGTGTAGGAGAGGCCTAGCCCTGGCAAGACAGTGATGACCTGGGGCTGGCCTCCTTCCAGAAGCCCTAATGGCCTCGTTTCACAGGGAAACAGCTTGTCTGGCTCTATTTCTCCTTCTTCCAAAATATCCAAACCCATTTGGCTGCCACGGCCTTTGCCACTCACTAAATTTCATTGTGGTTGTTTTGGCGGCAGCCCCTGATGGCAGGGGGAGGTTGCGTGAAAGGCCCCAAGTCCCAATCCTCCCTGGGGCTTCCCATCCTCAGGTCTCAGCCAAGCTCTTTGGCACCCTGAGTGTTCTGATTGGATCTGCCTCAAACGCAAAGGGTTTCTCCTTTAACCACAGCTCTGCATGCTTCAGTGTGTGAAGTGTCCAGGGGGCCAGAGGAGGCCACAGAGCCCACCCCTGTACCCTCGGCCTCTCCCCCGTTGGTCTGAGGCTGGAGAGAAGCATGCCATCTGCTGCCCGGGCTCCCGTGGGCCGTGAAGGGAGGCGCTGGCATGAGGCTGTGGCCACCCAGGACTGGGGGAGCCCGGCCAGGACAGAGTGCTCTCTCGGTCACATTCATTGTTCTGCATCAATCCAGTTTCCTGAGCCTTTCTTGCACATCGGTTGCTATGGAATCCTGCAGCAGGACAAGGTGTGATTCTTGTCCTTAAGGAGCTTACACTCTAGCGGGGCGTAGGAAACCTGTAAGCCTAGGGAGCAGAGAGGTCACCAGATACGTGTTACAAGGGCAGATGGGTCCCAGGGTGGGGAGGGGATGCGCTGCTGCCAGGGCTGCTCTGTGGAGAGGGCCCCGAGGGCTGGACGAAGAGGATGTTTTAAGACAGAGGCGGCTTGAAATCCTCTCTGTAAGGAGCCTGTGCCCAGAAGGCCCTGTGGCCAGCAAAGGCAGGGGCGCTTTGGCAGGGACACAGGGCCCGACGGAAGTGGTGGCCGCTAAGCCCAGCAGCTGGGTTGAGTGACAGGACACAGGACACATCTGGACCACATATAGAGTTCGGACTTTTTTTCCCCCAAGGCAAAGGTAGCCACTGAGGGCATTTGGTGGGAAGCCCGTCCTCCCGCAGTGCGACCACGAGTGTAGCAGGAGGCTAGCGGGAAGCAGGGGAAGTGCTCCGGGTGAGGGCGACAGGGTGGCAGGAAGAACCAGAAGCCCTGCATGTGTGTGTGTGTGTGTGTGTGTGTGTGTGTGTGTGTGTACTGGGGGGGAGTTCTCTTGCCCTGACTCCCCCTCCTCTTGAACAACCTCAGACCAATCAAGCTACCCTCCCCCTGGTGGAGGCCAGGTCTATGAGGGAAGCTGGTTCTCCCTGACCCTACCCTATAATTAATCCACTGGACCCAGGTGAGAAGGGGGGAGGGAGGAGAGAGCTAAGGTAGATCGGCCCAGCCTCCCCCCACTACCCCCATGCTTCTAAGCAGTTAGGCCCCGTTTGCATTAGGGAGCAGCTCAGATGATTAAGAATAGGGGAGATAATTATGTGTCAAGATGATGTAGCCCAACTCCACAGTCAGGCCAAGGTAGCAGAGCAGCTGGCAGCCAGGCGCAGGAGGCAGGCTCGGGCAGGGGTGCACGGATACGGTGTGTGTCCTTCAGCTCTTGGGCCAGGGCTGCAGGCACAGGAGGGCCTGACCTGGGGGACTGAGGGGTGTTGGGATGGGACTGGAGATGTGTGTCAAGGGACTGGCCCAGAGGGAGCAGAGGGGCACAAGGACCCTTGGTAGCCCTGCCTGTCACCAGGCTGCCTCCGGCCTCCAGCATGCTGGTATCTACCTAGAAGTGTCATGCTCTGGGACAAGCTGAGAGCCTTTCTGTCCGCATGCTGCTCCCTGTTCCACTTCTGTGTGCAGTGTGGCCTATACTTCAGCTCCAACAATGTCACGGCGGTGGGCATAGCGAGGGCAAGGGCTGCAGCGTGTGTGGGCGTTGCTGGCGACAGTCTCGGCCGTGGTTACCGGTGTTCGCAGTGGTAATATTCGGAATCTTTGCATTGGCACTCGAAATATGGACAGCATCATTAGTATCTGCAGCAGTCATCGTATCTGTGGGGATGTTAGTGAAGGCCGGTCAGCTGTGACACTGGGGAGAAACTGGCAGTGACTCTGAGCTGCTCGAGACTGCATGCCGTGGTCGTTGGTATGTGGGGAAAAAAACAAAACAGAGTTCTCTTTTTTAGAGAGATTTTTTGCTATAGGGCACATGTGCTCACCAGAGAGACAGAGAGTGACAGAGAGACAGAAAGTGAAAAATCGCCCCCTAGAGGGCATGGCCATGCCACAATCCCTTCTCCTTGTGTGTGTGTGTGTACTGGGGGGAGGAGTTCTCTTGCCCTGACTCCCCCTCCTCTTGAACAACCTCAGACCAATCAAGCTACCCTCCCCCTGGTGGAGGCCAGGTCTATGAGGGAAGCTGGTTCTCCCTGACCCTACCCTATAATTAATCCACTGGACCCAGGTGAGAAGGGGGGAGGGAGGAGAGAGCTAAGGTAGATCGGCCCAGCCTCCCCCCACTACCCCCATGCTTCTAAGCAGTTAGGCCCCGTTTGCATTAGGGAGCAGCTCAGATGATTAAGAATAGGGGAGATAATTATGTGTCAAGATGATGTAGCCCAACTCCACAGTCAGGCCAAGGTAGCAGAGCAGCTGGCAGCCAGGCGCAGGAGGCAGGCTCGGGCAGGGGTGCACGGATACGGTGTGTGTCCTTCAGCTCTTGGGCCAGGGCTGCAGGCACAGGAGGGCCTGACCTGGGGGACTGAGGGGTGTTGGGATGGGACTGGAGATGTGTGTCAAGGGACTGGCCCAGAGGGAGCAGAGGGGCACAAGGACCCTTGGTAGCCCTGCCTGTCACCAGGCTGCCTCCGGCCTCCAGCATGCTGGTATCTACCTAGAAGTGTCATGCTCTGGGACAAGCTGAGAGCCTTTCTGTCCGCATGCTGCTCCCTGTTCCACTTCTGTGTGCAGTGTGGCCTATACTTCAGCTCCAACAATGTCACGGCGGTGGGCATAGCGAGGGCAAGGGCTGCAGCGTGTGTGGGCGTTGCTGGCGACAGTCTCGGCCGTGGTTACCGGTGTTCGCAGTGGTAATATTCGGAATCTTTGCATTGGCACTCGAAATATGGACAGCATCATTAGTATCTGCAGCAGTCATCGTATCTGTGGGGATGTTAGTGAAGGCCGGTCAGCTGTGACACTGGGGAGAAACTGGCAGTGACTCTGAGCTGCTCGAGACTGCATGCCGTGGTCGTTGGTATGTGGGGAAAAAAACAAAACAGAGTTCTCTTTTTTAGAGAGATTTTTTGCTATAGGGCACATGTGCTCACCAGAGAGACAGAGAGTGACAGAGAGACAGAAAGTGAAAAATCGCCCCCTAGAAGGCAGAGCCATGCCACAATCCCTTCTCCTCCATTCTCCTTTTGAGATTTTGGGCATGCACGCACACACGCCTGGTGTGAGTTAGAAGCTGTCGTTGGGTCCAAGTCCTGGACCCAACATCGGCTTGTGGCCATGTGGGAGTCCAGCAACATAACCATCACGCCATCTGCTGGTCCTAAAA